CAGAAACCCCCAGGGTGTTTTCTACCATCTCAGTGGGTCTTTGTGGAGCTCAAAGGCCTTGCTATAGACAAATATATGGTTCTTGCTTTGCAGCAGACCAGTAACCAAACTCCTTAACTGCAGAGCAGGATCTGGGAAGCCAGATTTGCTCAAACGTGAATGAATTTGAATGCCAAGAATAAGGGTTAGAGAAGAGAATTTGGAGAACTGAGATAGGAGCCTTCCGGCCCTCCTTTATTAGTGACTTCACTAAGGTGGGGTTTCTTTGAAGCTTTTGAATTTCCTTTTCCCCTGCTGTGTACATGATGGACTAAGAAACTGTTTCTTGGATAAGCTAGTAATGATCTCCTGATTGTTTATGTGTAGAGATATCCCCCCTTTTCTCTCAGTTTCTGCCCAATCTTGCAGATCAGCTTTCTATTTTTGTTGTTGTTGTTGTTGAAAGATGGGGCTGGGAGCCAGCTAGGTGCCAAGAGAGATGTTGGGCAGCCCTGCCCCAAAGCTACCCTAATGGGAAGAGACCCATTGAGAATTTCCCAGCCTTCTCTGGAAGTGGAAGGAATGGAACCTTTTGAATGCAAGGTGAACTGTCTACTAGTGAGACTGACACTTTCCTTGTGTTGACTTAGCAGTTTAGGAAAGTTGTTCCAAATGCTTTGAGGTTGTGTGAGGTCACTGCCCATTCACAAATCTCTCTCCTTGTTTACTGCCAGCTTTTCCTATCCATCTATTCTTTCTTTCCCTTCTCCTGGAGGCCTCTGTACTTTGGACCTGGATCTGACATAGGAAGTGCGTGGCTAAATATAGCGGTGGCCTCTTGGTTACCTCCTCTTTTTGGAGATCTGGCTGCTCCATTTTCTTTTTGGAAATGTTAAAAGAAGAGATGAGTTTCTATTTCTGATGGCTTGTGCAAGGGGCCAGATCCAGTCTGTTTGTCTTGGGCTGAAGAGCAGAGGATTTACCCATGCCAGTTTTCAGGACTAAGTCAATGCCAGCTGCCTTGGCTACAAAGTCTGTTCCCAAAACTGGCAGTTCCTACTTTTGCAAATAATCCAAAATGATTTAAGAAAGAGTCATTGCTCCATGTTCTTAGACAGCACATTACTTGTAGCCCACTCTTTCTGTTCAAACATTTTTGCAAGCCGCTAGACCTCTGCAGATGTGTTGAAGTTCATTCCTATCTTCCCCAGCCAGCCTGGATGCTTCCTTTAGCAACCCTTAAAGCCAGCCTGACTTTAGGATGATGGGAATTACAGTCAAACCCCATGAGAAGGTGCAGGATTGGAGGAAGGCCGGACTGAACAAAGGCCAAAGGAAACCCAGACTCTCTCTATATGGCAGAATTCTCATCAAGGAGAACATCTCCCTTAAAGATTGCTTCAGTTTTGTACAAGGATCCTCTTTAGCTATTGCTGAGGATTTCGAATGAGAATTGTAGTTCATCACATCTGGAAGTTGGCTGGTTGGATCTGTCATAGAATTTAATTCAAAGTAAAAACCATTCCTGGACTATACTTTTAATACATGGATTTGTACACCATCCAAACTTTGGGTGCTTTTATGTATAGAGTTCATACTTCAACTTCATGTGATATTTAAAGCAGAATAGATTTTCAATTTTAACTTTTTGTAGCTTATAATTTTATGGGGTGATTTATACTGGGTTGGCCATGGCCATATTTGCACTTGCTTAAAGCTGAATAATGATCTTAGTCATTTAAAGTAATATGCTTAATCTTTCACAATTTATCAATATGATAACCTCCTTGGCATTTTTTAGATCCCTTGATTACTCATTTGTGCTTTGTTTTATTTTCTGTATCTGCTTTCTATTTGTGTTTGTTTATATACTTTCTCTAAAAAGTTAAAAATAAAAAAAAGATGCTCAGTTGGGGCCATGGACCACTCTGGTTTTCAACTACTAGTATTATTTTCCCATTTACAGAAACATATAGACACATACATCTTACTTTTGTTAACAGACTGTCAGGCACCGCTACCTGGTCTCCAACCGCTGATGGTCATTCTCATTAAATAATTCTTGGCCACCAGTGGTTGGAGACCAGGCAGGTGTATGGAGCCATGCAGGTGACCTTGGAGAAGCTATCCAGAGGCTGTTAGGACAACAACAGGTGCAGAAGCAGATGCTGAGCCCAGGGAGGTGGGAAGGTATTAGAAGGTGACTTAGACTGGCTCCCCTCTAACTGTCTAGAATATAAAGGGAAGGGAAGGAAAACATAATCAGACTTGCAAGATTTTGTTACTGTAGCCCAGTGTAGTTCAAACTTGGCCACTTTAAGATGCGTGGACGTCAACTCCCAGAATTCTCCAGCCAGTATGCTGGCTGGGGAATTCTGGGAGTTGTAGTCCACACATCTTAAAGTGGCCAAAGTTGAACGACACTGCTCTAGGAACATTCATATTTATGTTCGTCCTTGCTCTCCATTGCCCTCACCAGCACTATGAATCTTTCTTCCTTTACATGATGTTGATGGGGCAGTGAAGCTGGTCTCTCTGTGTGCAGCAAATGGCTCCATTCATTCACACTGGAAAAAGGAATCCGTTGGGCAACGCTGGGACCCCACCTCCTTCCAATAAACTAGGCTTCTGGTCAATGGATTTCCAGCATTCTTATGGAGTCAGTTTCCTGATCTGGTCTACCTCAGCAGGGTGTCCATAGGGTATGGTCAGAAAAGTCAACAGGCAAAGCTTCCATCACACCATCACTGCCACCATCTTGACTTTATTGACCATGCCCTGCAGGCACCTGCACACTAGAATCTGGCATGCTTGTTCTTTCCATCAACCCAGAGAAACACGCCATGGCAGAGGAACATCGAAAGGGGTATAGAGAGGAAGGAAGATGACCTTGATGGAGTTATGCAGGATCCGTTCCCTAGGCAAAAGGAGCTGACACGTTTTTTAAGTCCAGAATGTCCAGATAGTGTTCAGAAGCAGCTCAGGCAGACACCTCCCTAATTCACTGGAGTATAAGAAGGGGGAGAGGTCCAGCACAATCAGACTTGCAAGATTCTCTTGTTATAGCCAGTTTCAGTAAAAGTAGTTTTAGCCTTCCTGTGGAGTTGGTTTCCTAGTCTGGTCTAGCTGGTAGAGCTGGCAAACAGCCATCAGATGTTCAAATTTAGGGGCAAACATCGATTTTCTCTTTTTCTGAGCCTAATTTTTGGCATCTTCTTCCTACCCTCCCTCTCGCTCACTGTTGCCCTGTCTTCCTCCTCACATAGCAGACAGCCAAGAGAGACAGAGGGTTCTTGCCAGAGATCTGAACGGATCCCTTGAAAAAGGCTCCTGGAATTAGGCCAAAGACCTCACACCGCTATAGGGCAGCCACTTACCCACCCCTCCTGTAGTGAAAGATTCACTTGGCAATTTGTTTTTGGCAATATGGAAGAAAAGCCATGTCTGCTGTGACTTGTGTATTAAGTGAGTCTTCCCTTCTGAAATGTGTACAGAAGTAACTTTAGTGCGGTGAGGTCTCCTGCTCCTCTCCTTACTCTCATGATACCTTTATTAGAACCAGAATGAATTTTAGTTGGAAACGTTAACTTCCAAGAAACGCAGAGAACTTGGGGGGGGGGGGGCACTACTTTTCTGCTATTTTTGGAGGATCTGGGGGAAAAGTTTAAAGTATTAAGTAGACGTGTTAAGCTTTGGAAACTATTTTTGCACAATTAAATTCAAACCAAATGGAAGGCGTATTTTGCACACACCCCCCCCCAATTTGGCAGTTTTATTGCTTAATGGCAACTCTGTGATTTTGGGGTTCCTCTGGGGAACCGCAGAAGGAAGACTGGAGTCTGCAGTTATTTATCCTCAAAATAAGTAAATAATGACCTTGAGGTGTCAACCTAGAACATTTGATGTTCCGTGTCAGCCTACATTGATTAGGATGAGCTTCATCATCAAAACATGACTTTGCAAGTTTTAAGATTGTCAGACTTCAGGAAGATATTAGAATATGCAGACAGGAGTTGAGAGCCAGGCAGGGGAAGGCTGAAGAAAAAGCATAATATAAATCTAACAAAAGCTGGGTTGAAGTTGAAGTGCGCATGGCCAGATGCATGAAAGGAGAGTGGGAGGAAGCTGCCAACATTCAAACTAGGCCCTGTAGCAATATTTACTTCAGAGTTTTCAGAATTGACGTTACAGGTTTTTGCTTTTTTATAAGCATCTGCTGCAGTTTAACCAGTTTTGAAATGATAAAAAAAACGTTCGAAACATTAAACGTAAACTTCGAAATGTTATCAGACTATGACTTGGTTCACTGGTAGTCTAGATAATGGTTTGTTTAACTGTGGTTTATTGAACAAGCACGCTAAAGAGAGATACTCAACTGCCATCAGCCTGAGGTCCACACCAGGCGTGAGGCAGGGAAGTTCAAGAGTAGTATTAAGACACAGATTTTAACCCCCCCAATGCCCCCGAGAGGGAAGAAACATCCAGAGGTTTAGCTCCACCTGAAAGAGGGATGGGATGCTAAAGGACTGTATTATCTCCCAGGCTGTGATTTTGTATCTCGACACTTAGCCACAGTAGTTAGGTCCACCAGCATGCTAAGCCAAAACCAACCAACCAACCAATCACATTATGGCTTACCATCTTGTGAGAAACGTGCTGGAGGAAGGAACCAGATTTGTTTAGGTGGTGTTACAGATCATGAGGAACACAAGACCCTGCTAAAAAGAACAGCCCCTTATCAGGGTCAACATCATGGATGGTCCACTAATTTCCAAAGGAGGACCAAACTGTAATCTTGTCCCTATATGCTGGTCTTTGACCATAATACAGATGTGATTTGATTTGTCCCTGACAGGCTCAATTTTTACAGGTAAGGGAATTCTATTTAGAACACACACACATTAGGTAAACCTGCAGTTGGAGCTTGACATGGGCTAATTGAGCTTCAGCTTAAAAATCTCAGCAAGATTCAGGCCTTGCTTATTTAACCAGCTAACCATTTCTTTCCCTTGCTCTCCAAGGCTGATGCTGCAACCAGCTTCCTCCGAGCAGCACGATCGGGGAACCTGGACAAAGCTCTAGACCATCTCAGGAATGGTGTGGATATTAATACCTGCAATCAGGTAGGTCTTCACTTGCATTGATCTTGTCTGGGCCGGTTAGTGGAGATTTGCATTTGGTCCTTCGTGCGACTCAAAATTGTTTGGGTCTCACCTAGCATGTGTTGAGCCAGGATGCTGAAGAGGAGCCAGGAACACAGAACAGCCCTCTCATTTCTAAAAGCTACTGCTTCCTGGTATTTTATCTCATGGGACATTTTAATCCCATAAATTTTAATTTTTCCATTGGGTACCAGAGGGGATTTTGTTTCTCAGAAGCCTGTGAAGTTACAATAAAGAAGAATGTTGCTCTGAATAAACCCAGCCGCTTCTGTACAGTTAGCGCACATCTGTAGGGTTGTAGTCTGGGGGATTTTTAGGTGTCAGGTCAGCAAAGAGGGCATTGTCTCCTGCAAGTTGAGAGTTTCCTTTCTACAAAAGGTTCCCATATGGAAGTTGCACCATTTAATCAGGAATGAGGGAGGGTGTGATATCTTCAGCAAAGCCTATATTAGAACACTGGATCTGTTGCTATTGCATGGAAGAAGATGAGACTGAGTTCAGAATTCAACTTCTTTATTTCCTTAAAAAATCCAAACTGCTTTTCTAGTGTGAGGAGCCACCAGGGCTAGAAGTCAGAGATGTTAGATCTGCTGCACCAACTTGGAGGGATGTACCTCCAGGCCTGTGAAAAGAAGGGCCCATGTGACTGGTTTCGAGAGGACCTTATCTGCTTCCTTGTTCTAGAAGGGACTGTAAAACAGTCTGCAAAAGAGAGTTGTATGTGCTTAGACCAGTGTTTCTCAACCTTGGCCACTGGAAGATGTGTGGACTTCAACTCCCAGAATTCCCCAGCCAGTGTTTGAGAAACACTGGCCTAGACACTAAGAGGAGCTACTGCCTCCTTTCCAAAGTTACCAGCCATTGGTTATTTTTTAATATGATATTTTAATATGATGGAAGGAGAAAGGCATTAAATGCAGAGCAAGGAATTAGGTTTATACATTTAATTATCCTAAGTCAGCATTTGTTTCTGTTTTGAATCTGTCCACTTCAGGATATATGGTCCCAAAAAATTGTCAAGGGGCAAGTGTGGGCTCAGAGCCAGATGTAGGCATATCTAAACAAACTATAGCTTAGAGCCTCGCTGTCTAAAAGAGGCCTCTCAAAATGTTCATTTTTGTAATTTGTTATGGTTTTATTACAATTTCATATAAGAAAGTCTCCATAAATGATTGATTATGTGCCATCAAGTAGTTTTTGACTCCTAGTGACTGCATAGATAATGTTTTCTCCATGATGATCTGTCTCCAACCTGGTCTTTCAGGTCTTCCAATGATACTTCCATCACCACCTTAACTGAGTTCATCTACCTTGTTGCTGGTCATCCTCTTCTCTTTCCTTCCACCTTTCCCAACATCAGAGCCTTCTCTAGCAAGATAGGTCTTTACATAATGTGTTCAAAATAGGATAATTTGAGCCTGGTCATTTGTGCCTTGAGGGAAAACTCTGAGTTGATTTGTTCAATGGGCCACCGATTTGTTTTCTTGGCTGTCCACAGTATTCTCCAGGGTCTTCTCCAACACCAAAGTTGGAGGCGTCAATACTCTTCCTATCCTACTTCTTCAGAGTCCAACTTTTGCTTCCATAGAGCGTCACACTGAAAATTATACCCTCCTGTTAGCTTACATGACCCTCATTCATTAAGATGGGCTTTGTTTTTGTGTGTTTTGGCACCTTCTGCTCAAGGAGGACCCTTCCCTGTTCATCATGAGTTGATGATGCATTTTGGTGGCCAAGTTCACTTGTTACACAACTTTTTTTTCTCTTTTAGCACCTGCTAAATAGAGCCTCTACAGCTTTCCATAACGTAGGGCCTCTTCTTGTCTAAACTGGCCCCATGCGGTCCATGGGTTATAGCCTCTCACTGGGCTTGGTTTGAACATCGATAATTAAAAGATAAAGATGCCGTCAAGTTGCTTAGCAACAACACAGTAGTGGCGTGCCAGTGTCTTTTTCCAAGATAGAGTGCCTTGGAATTTCCTGGAAGTCTCCCATCTCAAATGCTAACCAGATCCAATTCTACTTAGCTTAGCCTCAGTATAAACAGTAGCATTTCCCAGTGGCAGAAAGTGACTATTGTTAGTGATTGATTATGTCCCATCAAGTTGGTGTCAAGTCCTAGCGACCACATAGATTTTCTCTGTGATAATTTGTCCCTAACCTGACTATTGTGAGTGAGCGGGCCTAAAAATTGGCTCTTTTTTAAAAAAAAATGTTTTGGACACGACTTTTCTCTCTGTTCCCCCCCACTGGATCAAGCCAATGTCCTCTTTGTCCAGGATTCTGAACTGGAGAATGCTTGCTCCCTTCCACTGTTTTTCTCTAGCAGCTAAAATTTAAAATATGCTGCTTGTGATTCAGGAGGCAGTAAATATCCATCGAGATTTATAGCTGTTGATGGACTTATCTTCTGTGAATTTGCCCAGTCCTCCTTCCAGATTGATAGCCATCCCCCCTGAATTCCATTGTTTATGTTGAGCAAAGATGTAGTTCCTTTAATTGGTCCCAAATCTCCCTGCATTAAGTTTCAGTGCATTTATTTAACCTCATTTTTCATACCATACATGATTTTATACGTTCCCTAAAAAGCTGCAATCCCTAATTGTTTGGGTTGCCCTTTTGGTGTACCCTTTCAAGCTTCCTAGTCACCTTCTTGAGAAGGTAGCCTCCATGAATTGGCCTTGCCCCTTTGAAACCCTTTAAACTGGGATCCATCATCTCCACTTCAGTGGGACAGGGACTTTTATCATTCACCTAAGTGTTGCTGAAAGAACTGCAGAGAAATGGAGAGAACAGAGCTCCAGTTTGGAGAAGAAGGCAGGACAGAGCCTGTGTCCTTCAGTCTTCATTTGTATTCAGTGCTGGTGCTGCTCATAAGTGAGGCTGGAGGTGGGGAATGCCTGTGCCATCAGACAGTGACTCACCTTGCTCTTCCCAATGCAGAATGTGAAACTTTGGAGCCACCAAGAAGTGGATGACCAGCTAAAGCAGCTGCGTTTTATTCCCTCCATGTTCACCCCATGGAGGCTCACCCAGCCTACTCTCTCAGCTGAAAACAGGCAACTTGAGATGAGAAGTAGCTGCAGCAGACAAGCCTGGTGGACAAGGACAGCCTTGAGGTTTAATTCCACAAGAGGCTTTCCAGACCACCTGTGGCTTGGGGAGAATTTGTAATACAGTGGTAGAGTCTCTTGGCTTGCAACATCTTGGTCTGTTTTCAACCCTCAGCACAGTAGACCAAGGAGACCCTTCTCCAACTATGTGCCTTGGAGATGACTTGGGCTGCAGTTTTGCATCTGGGTTCACACATCATGCACAGCTGTAAACCTGGTTTAAGAAAGCTAAAAAACTAAGAAAACACTCTTGCAGTGTTCATATCATATTCGGTTCCCCAAAGCATCAACCAGATTATGATGTATTTGATGGCTGGCTTTTGCATCCAGCATATGTAATGCCAAACTAGAATAATAAAACATATTTGCTGGATTCCTAGACATGCCATGCCCACCATACATTGGCTTAATGTGAGGGGGTGATTCATAGAATGTGCTAAGACAATTGTTGACTTCCACCATCATGATGAACCACCCTGTTTTGGTCTAGTCTAGTGTGCTGTGGCAATCCAATCTGAGTTAGAAAGGGCTATTTGGACCACCAGGTGCAATGCTTCCTCAGTTCAGGAATCTAAATAAGGCAAAGGTACAGGAATAACTTTTCCTGTGGGAGATGGAACAGCTGAGGGTCCAGCTAATGTGCAGGCATTCTCTAGTAAAAATTTAGGGAGCCACAGCTCAACCTGCCAACCCTCTGTAGACCTCAGGAGACTGTCTGAAGATGCTTCTTCTCACCAGAATAGACCAAGGCTGGTTTGGCCTGTTTTGGGCGCTCTTATCTTCCCTCAACACTTAAAACGATGCAGAGCTGCGCTTTATTCAGCCACTTTTAAACCAAATTTTGTCAGCCTAATCTGAGGATTTTGCAAACGCAGTGTGAGGGGGCAAGGAATTATTCACTTCCACTTGCAGCTTGGCCTGAACCTTCTTGCTTATCTGATGTAATGCATGATATGCATTACCATTCTCTGGCTGCATTCACACAACACAAACCTGGATCCTGAATTAGGCCATTTTCTGGATTCACCCAAACAGTGAACCATAAACTAACCAAACGGATTGGGTTCCTATATTATAGTAAGCAACAAAAAACAGGTGGAAACTAATCCTGACCCAGTTTAGGATGTTACACAAATACAGGTGCTGGGTCTTTAACTGACCCAAGTAAATGTTGTGTGAATGGAAGTACTGTTTAAGATTCCCTTCCCCAAATCCTTGGAGTAGTGTTTCCTAACCTTGGCCACTTTAAGATGTGTGGACTTCTGGCTGTCCTACATGGCTGGCTGGGGAATTCTGGGAGTTGAAGTCCACACATTTTAAAGTGGCCGAGGTTGAGAAACACCGCCTTGGAGATTCACTGCTGCTATGTGAGAGAGACAAGCAAGCATTTCACACCTCTGATATGTAATTAATCTGCTTCTCAATCTGTAGGTGGCAAATTATATCACTCCCCTTGACCTTTACTTGAGGACCTTGGTCATCCCTGGTTGTTGTAGTGTATACTGTGAGCTGCTCCAGACTGTCTTCCTTCCAGAGGGCAGCACTTGCATCTAAGCAATGAAACGATTGTGCCAAGAAGATTTGAGGAAAGCCCAAGTCCACAAATCTTTCTTCCTATGGAGAAAACTGGCCAGTGGCCAGATAGACAATCCAAACAGCATCTCTCCATATCACACCTTAGCCTGAGGCACAGAGGTTTTTTGTGTATCTTGGACATGGCCTGCTTCAGGCGGCACCAGAGGAAGCAGAATAGATAAAGGCAAGGAATGATGTCTGAACACTGCAGCAGGGCTTAAAAATGTTGGCTGCCTTGGACTAAACCTTGGTTTATTTCTAGGGGTCTGACTT